TTTTTTTTTTGTGCAACAGTGTGACTGCGAAAAATAGTCAAACTCGGCATGTACAAACTTTTGTGCATCGATGCTGACTGCACTTGGCCAGTATGCTGAGAGCCCCTGCCGCTGCCCCCCTCGTCCCTCCCCCCGGCATTACAGCGCACTCTCAGGAGTGCCACTTTTTTATCATTGTGGGACTGGAGTGCAACAACAGGCTCTGAGCATGCTTGCATCAGTGTACTGGGTGAGGACTGACTTTCTGTACAGCTGCCATAGTCTGCAATTCCGATAACTAGTGCGGCCTGACCAGTTTTCAGAATTGCAGACTATCGCAGCTGTATACAAAGTCGGTCCTCGCCAAGTACACTGACGCAAGTATATGCTCATAACCTATTGTGGCACTCCACGAGGCTGCAACAACGGTGGCAGCGGGGATAGAAAGTTGAGGATGTTCTCTACGTCCTTCAAGCATGTATTGGAACAAAAAGAAAAAAACAATAGCACCCTCCTTTCCCTCCCCATTTCGTCTCCTCTAATCCCCCTTCACCTCCCCGAAAACACACACATCCATTCCAACAGTGCACGCACACCAACACACGCATAAACACCCATATACACACACACAGATGGGTGTGTGGGCACTTGGCGAAGAACCACACAAACGTGGCCAACCTTGCACTTTCTATTATAATTGTCTATCTATACTTTTTCGTTGTGGATGGTTCGTTATGATTTGTGGAGGCAATGAAAGAGAGGATTTTTTTTTTTTTTTGTTTTTTTTTGTTTTTTTTTGTTTTTTTTGTTTTAACGCACACAAATGAAAGGGAGAGAGTTTGGGGTTTCTTGACAACACACACACGAATGTACACTGACGTTCAAAGGTATTCAATCAAGCCAATCAACAACCTCATAGTAGACAAACTGCAGGTCAACCGGCCCAGGAGTTCCGAATTGCTTCCCTGGCATATATCATTCAGGGGTGTTTACTTATCACGCTGGCATATCCAACCATAACATCAGCACAGAGGCTTTATCCCCTACCAGGTTGTCCCTAAGGTTGCTGTTGCCAAGATCAACCCATCAACTCTGCAAGTATTGGGTATGTTCCGAAGATTTGAAAAGCCAGGACAAAGGAAAGATTGGACAAGACACACCCAAAGAGCAAAATCCTAGGCTTTCATAACCGCACTGCCCCGTCCGATAAGCACACTGAACCAATCAGGAATTTGTACACAGACAGTGTGCATAAACAGATCAGCTGATATCCAAGTTTCCCACCCACTTACAAAAGTCATCAGAGAATGGCATATGTTGCTCGAAGAGATGTTCCCATAAAGACATGCCGAAGCTTTGTGGTTCTTCTGACAGTTTTTGCAATAAACTCAGTTCAAATCCGCATGAGTCAAGCCCGGGGCCGTAAGTTTTGTTCAAAGGTCAGAGAGAGGGGTCGAAAGTCACGTCTTGAGTCCTGTAGAGGTCTGAAGAGTCCTGTAAAGTCCCAGGGTCAAGGGATACGGGGTCCTGAGTCACAAGCTGCGTCCAGTACCCCCATGCCAGACAGTTGACTCTTGGAAAATCAGGAGTCTGACCCAGCACGGGAAATGCAGGCCTAAAGTCGAAGGCTCCCAGTAGTCAACCACTGCCGTAGATCAGATGCACATCAAAGGATGTCTACAGTATCGAGAAGATTGCACGATTTCAAGGACACATCGGGGACGGCATTGCATCCAGGCCATTGATTTCAAAGAGATCTCCGCCTTCGACACGGTCCAGCAGGAGGCTGGTCAAGCCAGTCAACGCTAAAAAAAGTAGACCAGGCTGAGGGGAGACTCGTTCTGCCTTGCTGAGGCTCGAGGAGTGCTGAGTTGCTGACGCCAGAGGCTTGAGAGAGGGCGCCAGCCTTGTTGGAGGAGGCCATGGTGGAGCGGCCATAGCCGCCACAGCTCTAGATGGAGAGTTGGGCGTGGAGGAGGAGGAGGAGGAGGAGGAGGTCTGTGTGACTGATGGGATTTTCAAGGGAAAGCTTACCTGGACATACCCGTCGCCAATGTGATTGTGCTGATGATGATCTCCTCAAAGTTGAAGAAAGACTGCGCCATACTTCCATAGCTCGACCTGGACTGTGGAAGGAGGATGGGCGCTCTGCTGGAATCTGCACAGTGACTATGTCAGTGATCGTCAGAGGGAGAGTCTGCATTGATGAGGTGGCGATGGTGGGAGACGCCCGAAAAAGAAGTGGGAGTTGGAGAGTGACATACTTGTATTGTTGATGATTAAAGTAACTCTTCTCTCTTTCTTCTCTGTCTTTTCTCTCCCCTATCTTTTTCTGCCTTGCTCTTTTATGATGGTTCGCTACTTCTGAAATGTGCATTCAATCAAGATATGGACTTGCAATCATCTTTGGAGACTTCATGTTGAGCGCTGGGTTGAGATTCGTGTGACACCTGCCTTCTTTTTTCTGTTTTTCGGTTCTCTTTTTCTTTTGAACCACCAGTCCCCACAATGCTCCGAAATTGGCACTCCGATGAGTATATGGCGGAACGCGTTTTTTTTTTTTTGGTGGGGGGGGGGGGGGGGAGAGCAAGGCCGGGCATCCTACCAGCCATGGGGATTCAAAGTGGTGCATGTGCCGATTTTGTGATTTTGCACGCTTGAATTGTATGCAAAAAATCCTGAAAGAAATCAGACGTGTAGATTTGGTGGTGATCTTTTTGAGAAAACTTTGAAAAATAGGCTACCAGAGTGGCCCGGGACAACTTGCCCGGCCGGGTCCTATCTGCCGTGGTGTGGGCTCCTCTTCCTGACTGGTCAATAGAATCAAGCGATCAGGAGCAACACTAATTGTAGGACAGATAAAAGAAAGAAAGAAAAAAAGTACAAATTTCTGGAGAAAAGAAAAAAGAAAAAAGAAAAAAAAATGTTGAACTTCGTAGTGACAGTGGCGATTGGTTTATCTGTGGGATGTGTCATTTGCTTTCTTCCTTCGTTTTTTCTTTGAACTTTCTCTTTCTCTTGTCTCTGTGAGGTCTGGTTTCCCCCTCCTTTTCTTCACCTCTTCGCCTTTTGGCTGCGTGCAAGTGGGTCCTTGTGGCACACGGGGATGGGGGCAGCCAGCGCTCAACCTGTCATCCACGTGGCTGGCCTTGTATGTAAGAGGTGATGAACATGTGGGGCTTTCCTTCCTTACTTCTTTTCCTTTCCTTGTTTTGCTTTTTTTTGCCTTCGCGCTCTGATTCAGTGTGACAATATCTGTTTGTGACGATATATGTATATGTATATTAGATATAATTTTATGTTAAATTTGGTAAAGAATTTCGATGTGACCCTGAGGCAAAAGTTGTTCAGTTTATTTTTCTGCATAACCTTTTTTTTTTTTACTGGCACCATCCCTGGTCCTTGCACGGCCGGGGCCGCCCAGGAAAACATGGTGACCTGGGCGGCCTGGCTGGTAGCCTATTTAATCATTAACTTTTAAAGATGGCAAGATGAGTTCTGGCTGCAAGTGTTTTCATTTTCTTGCATCCTTTTGCTCCCAGCTGCTACAGGTGGGCCCAAAAAAATTCCGCTTCCTGGCCATACTGGTAGTCCGAATTTCAAAGCACAATCAGACTGGTGGGTGTAAATAAAGAAACTCGCACTCGTCATGATTTATCTGCGTCAAAGAGAAGACCATTGTTTCAGAAAGGTTGTTTCGTTACAGAAATTGTCAGATAATTGCAGATCGGCAGATCATCATGGCTTGATTGAATTCGTCACCTGTTCTCTCTCCGGTCGTTGATGTGTTGTGTGCTTGTGGTCCTGCAGCAATTGCTACTTTTTCTTATCGAGGATTAAAGAGTCAGAGGAACGAATGTTGTCCTTAGTATTAAAACAAAACCTCTTCTGATGTGAAGTTCTGGGGGTTTGCATTGATGTTTTGCAGGAGAGCAATTGCTACTTGCTGCGGAGCTGCTTTGTGGCACGCTGTTGCCGTCTCTTATATATGGCAAGGGCCATTGCGATGCGGCAACAATGAAGTGGCTCTTTGATCAGAGTAAGAAAAAAATGATGTCTCTCGTGCTGGTTGTGAGAAGTTTACCTGCAAATTACTTGCATTCGCCGTTGAATGTATTGTTGCCAAAGGCTAATGGAACCATGCTGTCCGATAGGTAGAATTCAAAATCTGCAATGGGCGAAAGTTTTGTCGTGTTTGAAATGTGCATGTTTATAGCGGAAGAATAATGGTGTGCAATATGGGTTGACCTCATGGGAAAAAAAGAGGCGGCCTTGTGGAGATTTTGGGACTGTGAGAAAGAGGGGAGTACTGGCACGCAAGTAAGTTCTTGAAGAGCCACAGAGGAGGAAACGTAGCAGCAAGGGCCCATGTCAGTCTGTATAAGCGTTCTTGTGGGGAGTTCAAGATAACTCTGTGGCAGCTTGGATGCTCGAAGGTCTGCTTAGAATGGCAATCTGAATGAGTAGATACTAAATACGTGCGTAAAGGACAAGGAGATCCTGTCCCCTTCTCAGAAGGGGTGATAAGGCATGAAGGATTTTGTTGTACAGTTATGGGAGAGGACAGAGCTATGGCCACATAGCATGGGCGTGTGTGATGGCGTGAGCAATGACTAAGAAAACTGCGAGGAAAAGGAAAGCCAAAAAAAAGTGGATGAGGAGTAAGGTGTGGGGTGAGAAAGTGGAACGGTGAAGACGTTGGAGACTTCAACTCAACTAGTCCTACACGATGCGGAAAATTAGGATTAAGGGAAAAAAAGGACGAAGAAAGAAAGGATGGAGGGTAGTGGTAAAAGAGGAGCAGGAGGGAGAGCAAGAAGGAGAACAGGAGGGTGGGAAAGAGAGTGCTAGGGAGAGTAGGAGGTAGAGGCACAGATGTGCCATTGTGCACGTGCACACATGTAAATACTATGGAATAGCGTGCCCTAGAAAGCTGTGATTAGGAGCTACTGAGAGGTAGAGCAGCTCATGGAGAGCACCTACCTAGCAAAGCACTAACCTGGTGCTTTGGATGTGAGGGCAACAATGTCCATCAGGATGATGGCCACTAACCAATATTCCTAATGGATTCACCTGGTGCCAGTCGGTTTGACGATGATACCTCAAGGCCTTTGCCCTTTTAACAAAAGGGGAAAACAAAAAATCTGGTTACTGATAGGGTTCAGGGTGGACTCGTGTGATAGTTACTTGGCTTCCCTGCATATGAAGGGCTAGAACTCCTCCTAAAGGCTGAAGCTTTTTTTTCATATGATTGTGAAGTTGTGAACAGGTCCTGCAAGGCAGAAATGGTGAAGCTTCGTAGAGCTTCATGCATCTTTTCTCGTTTTTCTGAGTCATCTCGTCTGATCAGTGAGCAGCATGTATGTTGCAGTGGTTTATGCAGAGGATGAGAGATTTTCTGGTGGAGCTGGCAATATCCTGTGTGATATAGTATCAACGCAGTCTGTGGTGAGTTCAGGTCCTTCTGACTTGTACCCATTTGGACATCAAAACGCTCTTTGCCTGGGTTATTAGACTTTCGAGAGAAGATTCTAGGTGCAGGGAAATCCATCTTGTGATCCAATACAGAATGTCATAATCTGTCATAGAATATTGTACATGCAATAAATGGGTCAAGAATTAACATTGTCATATGTTGGTCGGGCTTGCTTTGGCTACTGATTCGAATTTTGTAGATCAATTTTTGGCTCCTGGCCTGGTCTGCACCTGTTTTCTGCAGGCTGACATATGGCACAAACAACCAGTTTGTGGGTCTGGCACGCATCTTGATCATTTACTTGAACCATTTGTGGGTCGGGCTTGCTTTGGCTACCGATTTCGAATGGTCAACTTGTGTGTTGCTAAAGTTAATGTCGATTCTCGAGTTCTTTTATGTCCTCCGTCCATTGCTCTCTTCTCAAGCGAGTCTTGTGTTGGACCCCCGGTCAGAGGAGGGCGGTTGTTTATCTGATACTGTACTTTCAGGGAGAAAAGCTTTTATGTTATTGCCTACGTTTGCACACGTTATGGAACGTAACGGAGGCTTGATTGACTAAGCTGGCGGTGTGATATTATCTGTGAGTAAACTGGTCCTTGAATGTGAAAAATTACTATAAGTTAAACATCTGGCCATGTTTGGATGCCTGCATGTTGAAATTGGGAAGAAACATAAATGTATATCTTCTGGACTTCCGGTCTGGAAGAAGGAAAAAGGATTTAGAAAAGTGGAAAAAGACTGAAGAGAAGGATACAGGGTGGAATTCCAGTGCGAGCAACCACAAGCTGTGTGGTGGGCTCAGGTGAGATTCAAACCCACCTGGCTGAAGTACTAGGTAAGTATGGGCTGTTTTTACTTTTGCCGACTTTTGTTTTTATTTGCTGTGCGGATTTGGACCTGGGACCTGAAACTAGAGCCTCAATTAACTGACCATCGACACATAGGATGGTAAATTCGTCTAGACCACATCTCTGTAGGGTCTGGTAGGAGCAGACAAAAATGGCTTCGACAAAAGAGTGATGCATCGGTAAGTTTCAGGTTTGTTTTCGAGTGTATAGTTTGACGTGGAGGAAGAGCGAGCTGCACTATTTTTAGCGCAAAGTCGGACGGGGTTGACCGCCATAGCCAGGGTCATCTGGCGTGATTATCCAATCCAAGTTTTCTGTGAAGTTTCCAATCAAGTGTGCTTAGCTTCCGATCACGTTTGCCCGAGTGATGAACTCGAAATTGATTGGATCTTGGCAATATCTCAACACTGGTATTGTAGCTGGTGACAATTGAAACATTGGCAGGCTGATTGGGTCCTCCAAGCTGCCGCATCAGCCTACGTGCCAGGTCAACAAGTAATGGGTCAGCACCTACCCCTCCGAGTTATAACTTGTTAACCTACCTGCTTCATGTTGCACCTCGTTACACACTGCTTTGCAAGGGGATTATAATCGTACTTAAACGGGAGAGAAACAGGGAAGTTGAAGCGAAGCGGTAGTAGGGGAAGGGACGTAGGGGGCATATGCTTACACACTTGCAGGCTTGGAGGAAGGCCCATGTACGCCAACGGTTACCACCCCTTTAAAAGAAGAAAGATGAGGCTCAATAAGAAGAGTTCCAAGATGACGGCGAATGAAAAGGATGAGATTTTCGTGCTGTAGAATAGGAAGGTGCAGTTGGAGGTGGAGAAGAAGTGGGAGGAGGAGCGAAGGAGAAGGCTATCGTCAATTCAAGGAGGGTTGGCCAGCGAGTCCAGCGCTGATGTCAACAATAGGTTAGTCCCCCCGGTCAACCCTCCCGTCAGTTCATGTGGACGAGTTGGTCAAACTGAAGGACTGCGTGCGCTGAGTAGTGAGCACCCTTGCCGGTGCAGAAATGGCAATCCAAGCTCCCCACATTGTAAACCACATCCATCTCCAAGAGGGAAGGTGCAGATTTAGCGGAATGGATCTGCTGCCTAGTGAGGACATTGACCCTTGCTTGCGAACCGTCAAAATGACAAAATTCTCCAACCAGATTCATTTGTCGTTCTCCCTACTTTAGCATGCAGCAGCAGGGTGGTGTGGTGTCACAGAGTACTCTAAACACACGAATTGGGGGGAATCATCCCAGGAGTTCGGAGAGATACATGACAGCTACCAGTCAAGATTGGCCATGGGCTCGCCACAACACGTTGTGCGTGGAGACATACCACGCCAGCATGCGGGATAAGGTTCGAGATTTCGATCAGATCCCACAGTCTGGAGTAGGAGATGGGAGAAGCCCTGTCATGTACGATTTATGAGAGATCACCAGGCCCTGTGACCCCAGGGCAAGGAGCTGAAGACAAACATCAGAGTGGGGAAAGAAGCATTGAAGTTAGGTTCTGCACAGTGGTCAGCATAGGAGACGCCCACGACCAGGTGGCCAGAGGGGGATGGGAAAAGCCGTGTCATGTACGATTTATGAGGGCTGTCAAGAAGATGACCAGCCCCCTGTGACCCCTAGGTGAAGGAGCTAAAGACGTGCGTCAGAGTGGCGGAAGAAGCATTGAAGTTAGGTTCTGCACTGCTTTCAGCGTAGGAGACATCCAGGACTGGGCGGCCAGGGAATAACAGGGAGGGATTCAATCCAGTGCTTGAGAGAAGAGCTTCCAAGGGTCACTGTTGCAGTCACACAGGTACCGGCATACTTGGGCACAGCTGGGGCAGTTTGGATACTCAGAGGGAAGAGATTCTTCGGGTAGATAGCCGTGCAGGCCATCAAAATTCGAAGGCCGTTGGAGCATTCATCCTATGAAGATGGGCAGGAGAATGTACAGAGGATTATGAAGAAGGGTCCCACAGAGGAGGAAGACCAGACATCATGTACAGTTTTAAATGTCACTACTACCCAGAGGAGAGGATGCATGGGCAGAGAGAACCACTCTTATGGATACTTCACAGAGAACGAGGGAGAATGATCAAACTGTGTACATACTGACATAATAGCTTATAACAGTCTGAGATATTTCTACGGGTTGTGAGTCTGAGAAATGTCAGTGTAGACAGGACTGTTAATACGTTTTGGTGCCTTCTCTCAGTCTATCATAGTGGAATATGTTTTCAGAGGATTTAACTTAGGCGAAGGGAGTGTTGATAGCAGGCGGGATTTGAATTCTGTCCTGGCCCAAATACAAGGTAGGTATGGGTTGTTACGATTTTTGTTGATTTTTCTGTTTGTTGCTGTGCAGATTTGAACTTGGGACCCAGAACTGGAGCCTGTATTAGCCCGACCGCACCGTTTTGCAGCGTACTGGGGTTATTGAGGGTGTTGGGGGGCGGTATGGGGGTGTTGGGGGGGTTGTTGGGGGTTATGGACTCCCCAAAACTTTTTTTTTCCCTTTTTTTGGCGGGGGGCCGACGACCGGTACACGCCGACCAGCCGACTGCGGCTGGTCGGCAGCCAACCAATCAAGGGGTGCTGACCGTCGGCTTGTGCAACTCGGATAGTAAATGTTTAGGGCCCAGACCTTGGCAGGTTCTGGTAGGCGACGTCAAAAATCACTTTGGCAGAAGTAGCGAGGTACATTAGTTTTCATCTGTATAATTTTGACAAGTGGTGATATTTTTAGCATGAAGCTGGAGGGATTTGAACCCTGCCATAGCCAGGGTGATCTGGCTTGATTCTTCATCATTCTGAACTCTGTTTGGTCAGGACAGATGAACATTCAAATGGGCATATTTTTTTTGTGATATGAGCTGCTATGCTGCTGTGAATCTCCAATTCAAGTTTTGTTTGAAGTTTCCAATCAAGCGTGCTTTGCTTCCAACCATGATTGAAGCTGGAGGGAGTTGAACCCTGCTATCAAGAGTGATAAGTGTGGAAATTGATTGAAGTTTGGCAGTGCCTCAACACTGTGGATCAACCTCAAAGATAGGAATAATAGTTTTCTTCCTTTCAGACACCCCTTGGCCTGTAAAGATCATGACGGCCAGAGTAAGGCCACACCTGCTCCGGTGTTCGGTTCTACCTTACCAATGATGCAAGGAAGTCAACTGCAGCACATTCCGTGTGCGTGTCTCTAATTGCCTTTGACTTGGTAAAAAGAGGCAAGACTGCACAAAGGCAAACCCACGGGAATCTGATCTTAATTGTCGTTCTTATCCATATGGAAGAATGTTGTGATTTTATTTTATTTTTCCGGTAAAAACAAAGCGCAATGTAATTCAAAATTATTATTCTCTGTTCATCTGGTTGCAGCTAGAGTTGAACTTGGTTCTGCATTTCGACGTTTCATGGGCACAGCGACTGGGCTGGGCCCGTTGGTACCATTTATTTCTGCTGTTCATGGGTGATTTTGTTTTTGTGCTCGGTATACCATGGTCTCTTCTGCAGTGTCCTTAGGTCTCAAACTCAACGAGAGGCAATGCATGTTGGGAAGCTGTTATTCTGATGCCCATCTGATTTTCATAAAATGTTCTCTGTTGTAATGCGAGCATCACAAAGCAGTTTTCCTTTCGCTGATAAAATCATAATGTGGTATTTTTTCGAATGCTAAAGGTTGGAGTTTCTGTGAAGTCGTGCAGACCAGCATATGTCACATGCACCTTACTAACCCTGCAACAGTCTTCTAGGTTACGTGCAGACCCTCAAGACTCAGATGGCGGCTGCGCATCCGGCTGGATGGCATGTCTGACGAGACGACCAAATGGAGGGATTGAAATTCCTAACACGAGGCAAAAGCGGTGCAGTTTGGCAGGACTCCCGACACATTCACAGATTTTGGGAGTACTCAAAGAGTACGGATATCTTGCAGGCAATGATCAACGGAAGACCAAGGCCGGGGAAAGCTCTCTCACAAGTATGCCCGTGAGAATACATCTGACCCACTGCTGTCCCCTTGCACCTTTATTGGTCTGACTGCCAGCATTTATAAAGCTCCGAAAATAAATGGAAATCGTCAGAAAATGTCTGCACAAAGCAACCATCAGTGCCATCATCCTTTTCTTTTGGCGGGGG